GTAGCACAGTCCTGTGGTCACAGCTTCTTGGGAGGCTGAGATGGAAAGATCACTGAGCTGGGGAGGTCAAGGCTGCATTGAGCCATGTTCACACCACTGCACTCCACCCTAGGTGACAGAGCTAGACCCTGTCTCAAAAACCAAAAAAAAAAAAAAAGAAGAATGATTAAATCACAAGAGATACTCTTATAATTCAGAAGTAGACAGCAGTGGAAAAGGATGTAAACTTATGGTCTCCCTCTTCTCTGCTGGTTACCTGACTCCATCACTATGGAAGAATGGCTTTGAAGGACCAAATATTTGCATAATTGATACCTTGATTTTGGACTTTGGCCTCCAGAACTGTGACAGAATAAATGGATCTTTAAAAGACTAAGACTTCTAAAAAATGGTGGAGACCTGCAATCTACAACAGAACATTAAGATGCCGGTGAAGGATGCTTATGTGTTTCATAGCTGGATACACAGAGCAAGGATATTCCAGGCAAGAGGAATTTCAGGAGAAAAGGCAGAAGGGCAGAAGGGGAGGTAACGTTAGGCTGTGTTCCATGAGCATTGTGTTATTTTCTTAGGGCTGCTGTGATAAGTTGTCATAAACTGGATGGCTTAAAACAAGAGAAATGGCCAGGTGTGGTGGCTCCACCTGTCATCCTAGCACTTCGGGAGGCCGCAGTGGGTAGATTGTTTCAGCTCAGGAGCTTGAGACTAGCCTGGGCAACATGGTAAAACCCTGTCTCTACCAAAACTAAAAAAGTTACCCAGGCATGGTAGCTGGCATGTGCCTGTGGTCCCTGCTACTCAGGAGGCTGAGGTGGGAGGATTGCTGGATCCCAGGAAATTAAGGCTGCAGTGAGCTGAGATGGTGCCACTGCACTCCAGCCTGGGTGATAAAGCAAGAGACCCTGTCTCAAAAAAACAAAAAATAAACCAACAAACAAACAAACAAAAAAACAAAGAAATTTATTCTGTCAGTTCTAGAGACCAGAAGTCCAAACTCAGGGTGTCTGCAGGGCCATGCTCCCTCTGAAGGCCCAGGGGAAGAGTCTTTCCTTGCCTCTTCCTGGCTTCTGGTATCGTGGTGCGCTCTGGTGCTCCTTAGTTTGTAGATGTATAACTGCAATCTCTGCATCCATCACCTCATGCTGTTCTTCCTGTATACCTCTGTGTCACTGCTCTTCTTACAGGTACACCAGTCCTTGGGTTTCGGGCCCAGTCTAATCCAGTATGACCTCATCTGAACTTGATTACATTTGCAAAGAGCCTATTTCCAGATAAGGTCACATTCCTCATACCAGGGGTTAGGACTTGAACTTATTTTCTTCGGGGAAGGGGGACACAGTTCCACCTGCTATAAGCATTAAATTGTCGGCCAGGCATGGTGGCTCACACCTGTAATCCCAGCACTTTGGGAGGCCAAGGCAGGTGGATCACCTAAGATCAGGAGTTCGAGACCAGCCTGACTAACATGGAGAAACCCCATCTCGAATAAAAATACAAAATTAGCTGGATATGGTGGCACATGCCTGTAATCCCAGCTACTTGGGAGGCTGAGGCAGGAGAATTGCTTGAACCCAGGAGGTGGAGGTTGCAGTGAGCCAAGATCACATCACTGCACTCCAGCGTGGGCAACAAGAGGGAAACTCTGTCTCAGAAAAAAAAAAATTGTCTAATTTGTTTAAATGGGGGAAATTGTGAGCTATCCGGCTGTATGTCAGATAATGATACTTGTTTCATAAATACTGTTAATTGCCTTATGAAGAACACTTATTGGATGGACTATCAAAGAACAAAGAAAAAGTCCATGGATAGAGGACATTCAGCTGGTGTCATGGAAGACAGGTAGAGCCACTGGTGAAGAGGAAGCAGAGGTAAGAAAGTCACTTCAGGTGCTATGGGAATGATAGTCAGGGATTAGCTCAAAGAAGAGAGAGTGAGGGATTGAGCTGGACAGTTTCCTTGAACACTGAGTAAGTATGTTAACTAGTGCTGCTGCAGAGAATATATATATAGTCTCACTCTGTTGCCCAGGCTGGAGTGCAGTAGCACAATCTCAGCTCACTGTAACCTCTGCCTCCTGGGTTCAAGTGATTCTCCTGCCTCAGCCTCCCGAGTAGCTGGGATTACAGGCACATGCTGCTGTACCTGGCTGATTTTTGTATTTTTAGTAGAGATGGGGGTTCACTATATTGCCCAGGCTGGTCTTGAACTCCTGACCTCAGGTGATCCACCTGCCTCAGCCTTCTAAAGTGCTGATATTATAGGTGTGAGCCACCGTGCCTGGCCGAGAATGAAATATTTAAAATAGCTTTATTTGATCTAAAGAGTAAAACATTAATGTAACTAAATGCAATGTAGTATCCTAGAACAGAAAAAGGACATCGGTGGTAAAACTGCAGTCCAATTAGTGGTTTCCAGGGACTGGGAGGAGGGGGAATGGCGAGTGACTGTTTAATGGATATGTGGTTTCCTTTTGGGGTGATTAAAATGTTCTGGAATCAGATGGTGGTGATGATTACACTGTAAATTTATTGAATGTTGATTGTAACTTTTGTTATGTGTATTTTATCACAATTTTAAATTTATTTATTTTGAAACAGGGTTTCACTCTGTTGCCCAGGCTGGAGTGCAGTGGCATAAACATGGCTCACTGCAGCCTTGAATTCCTGGGCTCAAGTAATGCCCGTGCCTCAGCCTCCTGAGTAGCTGGGAACACAGGCATATGCCACCATGCCTGGCTAATTTTATTTGTTGCCCAGACTGGTCTTGAACTCCTGTGCTCAAGCAATTCTCCCTCCTCTGCTTACCAGTGTGCTGGGATTACAGGAATGAGCCACTGTGCCTGGCCTCACAATTTTTCTTTTTTGAGATGGAGTCTCCCACTGTTGCCCAGGCTGTAGTGCAGTGGTGCGATCTCAGCTCACTGCAGTCTCTGCCTCCTGGGTTCATGCAATTCTCCTGCCTCAGCCTCTCGAGAAGCTGGGACTACAGGCACACACCACCAGGTCTGGATAATTTTTTGAATTTTTAGTAGAGATGGGGTTTCACCATGTTGGCCTGGATGGTCTTGATCTCCTGACCTCATGATCCCCCCCGCCTCAGCCTCCCAAAGTGGTGGGATTACAGGCATGAGCCACTGCATCCGGCCAGCCTCACAATTTTTAAAAGACCATAAGACACATTAAAAAAAAAATCCAGCCAGCGCAGTGGCTCACGCCTGTAGTCCCAGCACTGTGAGAGGCCGAGGTGGGCAAATCATCTGAAGTCAGGAGTTTGAGACCAGCCTGGCTAACATGGTAAATCCCTGTCTCTACTAAAAATCCAAGAATTAGCCGGGTGTGGTGGCACAAACCTGTAGTTCCAGCTACTCAGGAGGCCAAGGCAGGAGAATTGCTTGAACCTGGAAGATGGAGGTTGCAGTGAGCCAAGATTGCACCACTGCACTCCAGCCTGGGTGACAGAGCAAGACTCCGTCTCAAAAAAATCCAGATGTCTGCACTTTAGTTACTAGTATTGTACCAGTGTTATTTTTTCAGTTTAACAAACATACCATAATCACCATGGTCAACATTTAGGAAGCTGGGTGAGATAGACAGGAACTCTGTACTATCTTTGCAACTTTTTGGTAAATCTAAAATTTTTCCAAAATGAAAATTTATTTTAAAAAATTAATGTGGGCCAGGTGTGATAGCTCATACCTGTAATCCCTGCACTTTGGGAGGCCAAGGCAGGCAGATCACTTGAGGCCAGAATTCAAGACCAGCCTGGGCAACCTGGCGAAACTCCATCTCTACTATTATAAAAATATAAAAATCAGTTGGGCATGGTGGCGCACACCTGTAGTACCAGCTAATCAGGAGGCTGAGGCACAAGGATCACTTGAACCCAGGAGGCAGTGGTTGTAGTGAGCTGAGATTGTGTTACTGCATTCCAGCCTGGGTGGTACACCGAGACCTTGTCTCAGAAAAAAACCACAAACCCAAAAAGTTAATGTGAAAAAACCCATGTCTTTATTTTTCCTGAAGCATTTGGGTGTTTGCGTGTTTATATGTCTATCTTTTAGAGTATAATTCCTTTGAGGGCAAAGCTATAATGTGTATCTCTTTGGTATAATTCTTAAAATGTTAGTAAAATTTTCAGAATTTAAACATTGAACAGTTGAATTCAGTTTTTCTGAAGAGCCCTAAGTAGAACAGCTTTTCAATTAAGGTCTCTGGCTGCTGTGGAACGGGAGGGTAATTGGTGAGAGTCTCCTCTCTGGGGCCTGTCAACCCAAGAGTAATGACTTCTGGCCACTTCAGACCTGAGGTAATTTCAAACCAGCACAAGTTTCCATTTGTTCTCTTTATCTAGCCTGCTCTCTATGTTCAGTTATTCATGTGGTTCAATTACCCCGAGATCTCAAGGGAGACACGCAGGGATTTAAGAAGGAAAAGAACCGATGCAGCTCCATATTTTATTTTATTATTTTTTTGAGGTGGAGTTTCACTCTTGTTACCCAGGCTGGAGTGCAATGGAGTGACCTTGGCTCACTGCAACCTCTGCCTCCTGGGTTCAAGCAATTCTTCTACCTCAGTCTCCCGAGTAGCTGGGACTACAGGCGTGCGCCACCATGCCCAGCTAATTTTTTTGAATTTTTTTAGTAGAGATGGGGTTCCACCATGGCCAGGATGGGTTCGATCTCTTGACCTTGTGATCCACCCTCCTCAGCCTCCCAAAGTGTTGGGATTACAGGCGTGAGCCACCGCACCCGGCCTGCTCCATATTTTATATGGCATACAATACATAGGATGTGTGATAGTTCTGCACATGATGGTGGTCCATATTGGTGGGATGCGGTGGTTCACACCTGTAATCCTAGCACCTTAGGAGGCTGAGGTGGGTGGATTGCTTGAGCCCAGGAATTTGAGACCAGCTTGGGCAACATGGTGAAACCTTGTCTCCAAAATAAATAAATAAATAAATATAGGAAAAGATTCTTTATAACAATAAAAAAAATTTCCGCTCCTCTCTTCCTTTCTCCGCCATCGTGGTGTGTGCATTTCTCCGTTTCTCGCCATGTCTTCTCATAAGACTTTCAGGATTAAGCGATTCCTGGCCAAGAAACAAAAGCAAAATCGTCCCATTCCGCAGTGGATTCGGATGAAAACTGGTAATAAAATCAGGTACAACTCCAAAAGGAGACATTGGAGAAGAACCAAACTTGGTCTGTAAGAAATTACACATGTGATGGCACACATATTTATGCTGTCTGTAGGTCACAGTCGTGTTACCAAATCAAGCTGAAAAATGTCACCGCCATCTGGAGAAGTTTGAACAGTTTCCTTTCTGTATCTGTTATGAAGGCATTAGGACAACGCACAGTGCTTCCATTATTCATGTTAAAAAAAAAAAAAAATAAGTTGCCTGGGTTCAGTAATAAATATGTGAGACCTTTCACTTCAAAAAAAAAAAAAAAAAATTCCCAAAAGAATCATCTGTTCATCAGCAAAGATCTGCAAATGTCTCTGCTTTGTCCCACGCATATTTTTTATTTTTTTTTTAAAAGTTCATTGTTTCTAAAATAGGTTAAAATTTCTTAACTAAAACATTGGAAACTAGAGTTCTTGGTACATGACTTTGTATAAAGTACTATTTTTCATTAATTGGCACCTGCTGTTTTATTTGCGGGTTGACTCATACTTAAAGGGATAGCTTTACACAGATTTGTTCATCAGCAAAAAAACATAATTCGCATTTTAGAAACAGTGATAATCGCTCTATCCAGCTATAAGAACTGGTGGGGTTGATGTAAGACAAAATTGGCAGCCAGGAGTGTGGCTCATGCCTGTAATCTTAACACTTTGGGAGACCGAGGCGGGTGGATCATGAGGTCAGGAGGTCAAGTTCATCCTGGCCAACATGGTGAAAACCCATCTTGACTAAAATTAAAAAAATTAGTGGGACGTGGTGGTCATGCTTGTAGTCCCAGCTACTTGGGAGGCTGAGGCAGAGGAATAGCTTGAACCCAGGAGGCAGAGATCACAGTGAGCCAAGATCATGCCACCGAACTCTAGCCTGGTGACAGAGTGAGACTTTGTCTCAAAAAAGAAATTGGCCAATAAGAGAAACAAAGCTAGGTTGGTATAAAACAAAATTGGCTAATAAGAGAAATACAGCTAAAGAAATAGAAGGAAATAAAAAACCCAGCCAGAACCAGTTAGTTCTCTGGTCTTTTAGATAAGGTTTTACTAGTACTTGTATGGGTTTGGTAGTTAACAGCAGAACGGTATGTGGCTATGTGTTTAATAATTGCAAATGTTTACTCTTAAATTCACTTGCAGTGTCTAAATTATGAATAATTCATTCCATAGCATGGGATTGAGGAACCTCAAGAAATATTTTTACTTATCTTTATTAAATCCTAAATTAAAAGAGTCACTTTGCAGGGTGTGGTGGCTCACGCCTGTAATCCCAGCACTTTGGGAGACTGACTTGGGTGGATCATCTGAGGGAGCTCGAGACCAGCCTAACCAACATGGAGAAACCCCATCTCTACTAAAAATACAAAATTAGCCAGACGTGGTGGCACAGGCCTGTAATCCCAGCTACTTGGGAGGCTGAGGCAGAAGAATTGCTTGAACCTGGGAGGCAGAGGTTGCGGTGATCCTAGATCGCACCATTACACTCTAGCCTGGGCAACAAGAGAGAAACTCTGCCTTAAAAAGAAAAAAAAAGAATCACTTCTGGTGTTAAGAACCCAGGATCCAGTCAACTTGTTTACGTATTTTTTTGAACAGATGACAGTGGCTGTGTAACAAATTACCCCTAATTTAGAAGCTTTAGAACCACAAACACTTATCTCCCACAGTTTCTGAGGCTGAGGAATTTGGGAGCAGCTTAGTTGTAATCAGACTGTAGGTCAGGGGATGCAGTGATCTCAAAGCTGCCCTGGGGCTGAATTCCTTCCAAGCTCACTCACATAGTCTTTGGCAGCTCCTTGCTGGCTGTTGGCTGCTGACCTGTTCTTTTGGGCCTTCCATAGCTTTCCTGAGTGTTCTCATAACATGAAAACTGGCTTCTCACAGAGTGTGTGACACAAAAGGAAACAAGCAAGCAAGAGGGCACGGAGATGGAGGACACAGCTTATTGTGTCCTAAACTTGGAAGTGACATCACTACTCCTGCATGCTAGTGGTCACCTAAACTAACTCTGGCCCAGTGTAGAAGAGGAAGCAGGCATCACTGGAGGCCATCTTGGTGGCTAGGCTACCACTGTGGCTGTCAAATCTTTGAGGTATTTATACTCCACTGAAAAACTTTAAAATAATGACCTAACAGCCTTTTTTTTTTTTTTTTTGAGACGGAGTTTTGCTCTTGTTACCCAGGCTGGAGTGCAATGGCACGATCTTGGCTCACCGCAACCTCCGCTTCCTGGGTTCAAGCAATTCTCCTGCCTCAGCCTCTCGAGTAGCTGGGACTACAGGCGTGTGCCACCATGCCCAGCTAAATTTTTTTGTATTTTTAGTAGAGATGGGGTTTTACCATGTTGACCAGTATGGTCTCGATCTCTTGACCTCGTGATCCACCCACCTCGGCCTCCCAAAGTGCTGGGATTATAGGCGTGAGCCACCGTGCCCGGCCAACCTAACAGCTTTAATATTAAATGTATTTATGCCGAAAGTTTCAAATTTTACTACTACTACATTAATGATGAAAATCTTTGAAGGGGTATATAGTTTAAAAAAATTATTTTGGTGCTGGGTACAGTGGCTCATGCCTTGTAATCCCAGTGCTTTGGCAGGCCAGGAGTTTGAGGCCAGCCTGAGGAACATGGCAAGATCCCATTTCTATAAAAAAAATATTTTAAATTAGCTAGGTGTGGTGGTGTATGCCTGCGGTCCCAGATACTCAGGAAGGTGAGGCTGGAGGATTGCTAGAGCCCAGGAGGTTGAGGCTGCAGTGAGCTGTGATTGTCCCTCTGTACTCCATCCTGGGCTACAGAGCAAGACCTTGTCTCAAAGATAAAATAATTAAATCTATGCAGTGCTCCTCTTACGATATTTCTTTGGCTCTTTACCTCCCCCACGTGGTGTTCTTTTATCTTAAAAGTACGCACAGTTGATAAATGAAAGATGAACTGCAAATTGGAATAATTTGGGTCCTGATTTGTGAATTGAAAAGATTAACTGAAATCTGGAATGTCTCTGAAAATCTAGGAGTTCTGGTTATAAAAAAACGGATCAGGCCAGGCGCCTTGGCTCACGCCTGTAATCCTAACACTTTGGGAGGCTGAGGCGGGCAGATCACCTAAGGTCAGGGGTTCGAGACCAGCCTGGCCAACATGGTGAAACCTCATCTCTACTAAAAATACAAAAAGTAGCCAGGCATAGTGGCGGACGTCTGTAATCCTAGCTACTTAGCAGGCTGAGGTAGAATCGTTTGAACCCAGGAGGCATTCAATCGCTTGCTGTGAGCCAAGATTGTGCTGTTGCACTCCAGTCTGGGCAACAAGAGCAAAACTGTCTCAAAAAAAAAAAAA